ACAATTCTCCTCTCTCAGTCTCTGGAGTGATGGGATTTTAAGTATGCCACCACACCCAGCCAAGATTTCTTTTAATAAACAGACATCTCTTCAAGGTAGTGGATTTTATTTCCTTTGAAGATATATCCAGAAATTGAATTGCTTCTTCTCTACCTCTATTTATTTATTTATTTTTAAATTTTTATTTTATTCATATGTACAAACATTGTTTGGGTCATTTCTCCCTCCTTCCCCTCAACTCTCTCCCTTACCCCCCCCCTTACCCGCCCCTTTACCCTTTGCTACCAGGCAGAAACTATTCTGCCCTTATCTCTAATTTTGTTGAAGAGAGAGTATAAGCAATAATAGGAAGGACCAAGGGTTTTTGCTAGTTGAGATAAGGATAGCTATACAAGGAGTTGACTCGCATTGATTTCCTGTACATGTGTGTTACCTTCTAAGTTAATTCTTCTCAAACTAACCTTTTCTCTAGTTCCTGGTCCCCTTCTCCTATTGGCCTCAGTTGCTTTAAAGTATCTGCTTTAGTTTCTCTGCGTTGAGGGCAACAAATGCTATCTAGTTTTTTGGGTGTCTTACCTATCCTCATACCTTCCTTGTGTGTTCTCGCTTTATCATGTGATCAAAGTCCAATTCCCTTGTTTCTACCTCTATTTATTTTATTATTGGTTTTTTTTTTTTTTTTTTTTGAGGAACCTCCACACTGTTTCCATAATGGCTGTTTGTAATTCCACCAACAGTATTTAAGGGTTTCCTTTTCTCCACAATCTCACCAACAATTAGCCTTTGACTACTGATAATAGTCATCCTATGTTAGGCTCTGGGGTCTACCCCCAGCACTGAAAAAAAAAAAAAAAAAGGGTTTACCCAGATCCATTGTTCATTTTTAAGTGAGATTATTTTCTGGTACTGAGCTGTACTGAGTTCCTTATTTTGAGACATTAACCCCTTATCAGACATATGGTTTGTAAATGTTTTCTCCCATTCTGTGGGCTGCCTTTTCATCTTATTGAGTTTCCTTTGCTGTACAGAAACTTTTTGGTTCCCACTCTTTTGTTCTGGCTTTTGATGTCATACCCAAAAAGTCACAGCCACAACCAATGCCAGAACCTCTTCTCTTACACTTTCTTCCACAGGTTTTATAGTTTCAGGACTTACATTTATGTCTTTAATCCATTTTGAGTTAACTCTTGTTTCAGGTGTAAGGTAAGGATCCAATCTTATTTTATATGTGTGTACAGAGAGGACAATCTTTTCAATAAACAGTGCTGGATCAACTGGATGGATATTCTCATGAGGAGAAAAAAAAACCATGACCCTTTTTTCACACCATACACAAAAGTAACTCGAGATGAATCACAGACCTAAGCATAAGAAGCAAAATAAAATTCTTAGGAGAAACAAAGTATCTTCAAGGTACTGCATAGGCAAAGAGTTCACAACTGAAACACAAAAAATCACTAACTATAGAAGAAAAGACTGATTAAATGAACTTGGTTAAAATCAACAACTTCTGGCCAGGCATGGTGGTGTGTGGTGTGTACCTATAATCCTAGCTAGGAGACAGGCCTCAGCTACACAGTCAGATTCTGTCTCAAAAATAAACAAACAAAAAAACTTTCCAACTTGTATTCATCAAAACATGCCTTAAGGATAAATGTGACCAAAGTACATTATACACATGTATGAAAATGTTGTAATGAAACCCATTGTCTTCTATAATTAATATGTTAACAAAAAGAAAACAATAAAAGCTACTGTTATAGAGCACAAAAGCAAACGACAGACCATAAAAGGCTATCTGCGTTATACATTCAAACACATGACTTACCCCAGAACATAAATTCCTACAAATGAATCTGAAACAGGTACACAGCCAGTAGAAAAACTGGCAGACGTCAAAAGACTTCAAAAAAGGCTTCATAAAAGACCATATCCAAATGGTCAATTAACCTGAACATGTGCTCAATCCCATTAGTCATCAGGAAAATGCACAGTGGAGTAAATGGGTCTCCATTATGCCTCCATCAGAGCTGCTAAACTGACAGGGGTTATAAATCTCACGAGTTGGGAAAGCTGCTGAGAACCCAGAACTCTTATTCACCGCACGTGAAACTGCTTCAGCTGCTTGCCACATAGTCATGTACTTATGACCTGGCAGTTTCACTCTTGGGTATGTACCTCAAAGAAACAGTGAATTGTGTGCATGGAAGACCTGCACAAGAGTGGTAACAGCAGCTTTCTTCATAATGGCCACGGACTGGAAACAACCCAGATATCCATCAACTAAAACACAGATGTGCGAATGGAAAGCTATAATTACAAATAATGAAATACTGCAGCAACACAAATGAGTCTCATAGACACAATGTTTAGTGAAAGCCAGTCCAAAAGGTACAGACTGTGTGATCACACTGCTACGCAGCTGAGGTACAGACAAAAGCAATCTATGAACTGGACAAGGAGCTGCACACCTATAACCGCTGCACTCAGGAGGCTGAGACAGGAGGACTGTGAGTTTGAGGCTACCCTGGGTTACACAGTGAGAACTTGTCTCAAAAAAACAAAACGAAACACCATCTCTGATGACAGACTCACATTAGTGGTAGTTACCCTGGGAAGAGGGAGATGCATTGCCTACGAGAGGGCATGTGGGAGCCTTCTGAGGTTCTGGAAATGTTCCATGTCTTGGTCTGGGTGGTGATTCCATTGAGCTGCACACTCCCATCTGTGCTTTGAACTATGTGTAAACCATACTCCAACAACAAAGGATAAGGCTCAAGGTGGCAGATGACTTTCCCAACACTGATGCTTTTGGCGGGGAGTGCTGGGAGTCACATCCAGAGCCCTACATGCTAAGCGCATGCTCTGCCACTGAGCTATACTCCAACCCCTGCAATGTTTCAAATATATCCATTTGCTTGGATAAAGGTCCTTGGCTTTCACTGGACTGTCTTTTAGAATGTCAACTCCCTGGCGGCAGATGTTTCTGTTCATTGCTCTATCCCCAGTGCCTGCCTGGGCACTGGCAGATACTCAATATTTGCTGAATAAATGTATGAAAGGAATAGCTACCAAAAGTTATCTGAAAAAAAATCATTAACTAAAATCTTAGTATAATGAGTACTTCAATAATATAAGTTTAAAAGTAACTGGTAAAGGATAACAATGGCAACACGAGTTTCCTTATTATGTAGATGTATCTTAGAAAACTGAAGTCTGAGGTAAAAATTTCCTTTATGAGCCTGGAATTTGAGTCTTTTTCTTCTATGAATCACTCTATTTTGGACCATGCTCAAAACCAAGTTGAAATCCTTGCAAGTAAAATAAGCCACTGTGGTTTAGATGTGTCTGCCCCCTCCAAAACTCATGTTGAAATGTGGCTGCCATGTGGCCGTGCTGAGGGGGTACGGGGCCTTGGCCTCGAGATGCATTAGTTCTCTCAAGAACGGTTCTCACAAAGTACTTGGCCCCTTTGTGCCCTATTTCCTCCCACATGCACTCATTTGCTGCTCATACGTGTACTCCTGTCATATGATGCCATCTGAAACGTTAGGATGTAACATGAACACCTCAACAGATGCAGCCACCCAATTTTGAACTTTTCCATCTCCATAATTGTGAATTACATAAACCTCTTTCATTAATCAATTATCCAAGTCTCAACTATTCTGTTATAGCAACAGAAAACAGAATCAGACATAATCCTCAAGCTTGAAGATACTTTTCAAAAGATGTTGAGGCAAAAATGAGTGAAATTCAATGGAAGTTTCTAATATGATATGATATTCTAATATGATAATGATTTACCTAAAACTGTGGTTCTCAACCAGAGGTGAGTTTCTCCCCACTCTTGGGGACATCTGGCATCATTTGAAGACATTTTTGCTTGTTATAACAGGGAGTGCTACTGGTATCCAGGAGGAAAAGGCGAGAGATGTGCTAGACAACCTATAGTGCACAGGCCAGCACCCCACAACTAAGAATTATCTGCCTCAAAACCATCAATAGTGCTGAGGTTGAGAAATCCCAAAGGAAACCATCACCTTCTGTAAACTAAAGGATCTTCTTCTTAAGCATATTAAGCAGAGAGTCCTAATTAAACTATAAAATAATTCAAGAACCTTTTACTCATTACTTTTTCAAGAATATGTAAACTGTGTTTTTAAAGTTACTTAAAGTTATACAACTGTATTAAATGTCATTAAAAGATGTTTAATCCCAGAAGTCACAGCTATCACTATCATTTCTAAGACTACATTAGGCCTATCACTTATCCCATTCAACATTAATATCCTCATGTAAGTAAGTAAGACGTTCATTATAAAGACAAACCTGGAAAACATTGAATACCTTCTCAAGGTTGTACCGCCAGAAATGACAGAGCTGAAATTTGAACCTGATTACCTCTAAACCCATGGTGTTTCCATTAAAATGTATTAAATTTAAATTTCAACATGGAGGCAGTTCAAAATTAAAAGCACTGGGCTGTGTAGCTCAGTGGTAGAATGTGTATTTAACGTGCCCAAGGCCCTGGGCTCAATCCCAAAATCAAAAGGAAAAAAAAGCACCTCAAATTTCAATTTCTTTAAGTATGCCACTTTAGAAAGTTACCAGCAAAATCAAGAGCAGCTGCTGAGGAATTATGAACTTAGGATATGAAGTCAAGAGGTTAGACAGTGCCAATTTTTTAAAAAATAATCTATATTTGACATTTTAGTTATGACAAATAAAATTAAGCAGTTTTATGTGGTTATATGCCAGAGTTATCAGACACACTTTCATTCTCTTCTACCACTGAGATAAACACCTAAGCCTACTGGCTCTGGAGCGTGATCTTAACAAATCACCAGCATGGCTAACCTCCTCACCCTTACAATCACATTAGCTTCATAAGCCAATCTAAGAAGACATTTCATATTAAATTTTGTCTAATACTTTTACCTCAGCATTTAAAGGCTTATCATGATCCTCTGCATAACCAGAAAGGAAAGTGCTCTTACCCTGTTAAAGCCATGTTCGTGGGAGTTATCCACTTCTCCATTACTCGTCACTGGAATTTCTGCTGCTGAATTTTTGGGAGATTCTTGAGCCATGATAGACTCCTTTATAAAAGAGAGAGAGAAAAAAAGGCATACTAATACCAAGTTATAAAAAGGCAAATATGTGATAGACTGCGTCCATGTGTAAAGTACTTACTAGTCATCAGTTTACTCTTTCTTATAATTGCCACTTACCTAATACTTGAATAAACATGATAGTAATATATTTAAAAAACACACTTGGCCGCTTTCACTTCACTTAATCTAAATTTCTTGATTAAAAACAAGTTACCTGTTACAGGTACCAGGAGGTTACCGTCCTTAGCTCTGACAGCGTGTAATGACAGGCCACCGCTCACAGCTGGAAGAAACACCTACAGCGGCTGTTTTTCATGTTGTATCTAACAGGATTCTAAGTAGGCTTTTCTCTAAAGAAGAGTTTTCATGATAGAGCAAAAAATTTTACACCTTTGTACCAGAAGAGTTAAGTTTTATACTTTGGTTTCACAGTTCCAAAAATACTTAAAAACACACTTCTTAATTTTATAACTACAGAAAATATAAATTTTTTCCAGAAATCAAACAATCGAAAACAGAACATCAACTATGGCTGTTAAAAAAAAATTCCAATCATGATTTTCCTTAAAAATGAGTAACAAAGGAAAACTTCATATATTTAAAAGGTCTTAAAATCTATTTTCTCCTACTTAAAAAACGTTAAAATTTCAGAGTAAATAAACTAAGCAATAATTTATTCAACATTTTCCCTTTTCTTCCCCCTTTTTGTTTTTAAATCACCAATGGTCTGAAAAGTTACATGTGTATCCATGGGAACACACACACACACACACACACACACACACTCCCCAAATAGTGCCCACTAGAATAAAGGCCTTGACAGAAACGTGGTAGGGACAAATCAATAACTTGCAGAGTGCACGTGTTCTAATGCTTACATCTGAGTCCAGCTGCTGCCACACCTGCACTATGCAGAATTACCAAACCCAGACAGAATGGCTAAAGTATGCATGCAAGTGTGTGGACCTGAATCTCTTGCCAAAAATATTACTAAGAAGTTCTTCAATGGAAGATATTTTTTAAAGCAGTTAAAGTAATTGCGGGGCCCTCAATGCAAGGGCCCAATTCTCTACGGCTTGCCAGTCTAACAGAGCCCCATCTGCTCTTCACAGAAGCTCAGTGGGTGGACCTGATAAGTCTTGAATGGGAGACCCCTGAAAATATAGAATCCTGTGGGGGTTAGCTGCCCTCTTCCACCCAGAACCACTCAACCACTTCTCTTGCCTCTGGCCAAGAGGAAGGCTGGCTCCTTCCAGACACCTCCTCCCCTCTGCTTCCTGTCAGTGGGCACACTTCAGCTGCCATTACCTGGCATGCCACAGGCAGCCACAGCTCCCAGCCCTCAACACTGACAGTCAAGCACAAGTCGCAGAATGACCCAGGCAGCAAGACAAGCTCTGACCTTCCCACTTAACCAACAGGAAAGGGAGCCTTACGTGCTCAGCCTACAGCAACCTCTGTGAGGACCCAACATTTCCAGGTGCTACCCAAAGATCTAAACCTCCAGCTGCCTCCCAACTTGGGCAGTATAGACCTCCTCTCCCCAGATTCACATGACAGGGTCTGTCTAAAGGAACAAATGGCCCTTATGCCCAGACTATCCTGTGAAATCTGCATCTCCAAGTCTGACTAGCATGACAGTGGCACAAGAATGGCATGGCAGGGTCTCAGGCCTGGAGGTCCACACTTCACCAAAAGCTCCCAGAGACAGGGTGGGTCATTCTGCTATGGTGCTTCATGCAGAAAGAGGACAGTAAAGTCTATCTGCTGTTTCTATCTCTAAGTGTGTATGTGTACACACACACACACACACAAAGAAAAGAATATTCCACGGACTCTCTCCTGCAGCTGGTCACGAGGGGACAAGGAAACATCTCAGGAGACCTTCATTGCCATTTGCAGGAGTCCAGGAGCCCCTGGCTGAGTGCTACAACATGGGCAGCACCCTCCTTTCCTGCCCAGCCTAACTGCAACCAGCATGAGCTGGAGGGAGCTGGCCTAATTTTTTTTTTTAATTTAGGATTCATTAATAGTACAACAGGGTTTTGTGCAAAAACTCCCTATCTGCATATGGTGTGTTTTGAGCAAGCTCACCCCTTCCATTACATTCCTTTAACCACTCTCCCTTTTCCCTCCCCCCTTTAAAAACAGTATGTGGTGGGTTTCTTTATGCTATCTCCATACATGTATAAGTAACATATTTTGATCCTCTTCATCCCTGTACCCTCTCCATCTCCCCCACAGTGTCCCTTTTTGCCTCTTGTCCCATTATTATTGCTATTTTTTTTTTTTGTCATTTTGACCTAGATTCCACATATCTGGCTTCTTGAGCTTGGCTTATGTCATTCAATATGATGTTCTCCAGTTTCATTCATTTTCTTGTAAACAGCACAATTTGTTTCTTCTTTATAGCTCAGTAGTATTCCATTGTGTTAAATACCACATTTTATTTTATCCATTCATCAGTTGTTGAGCACCTAGGCTGACTCTAGCACTTGGCTACTGTGAAGAGTACTGCAATAAACATGGGTGTGCAGGTGTCCCTCTTATATGTTGACTTACACACCTTCAGATGTATGCCCAAGAGTGATGCAGCAGGGTCACAGGTAGACCTATTTTAAGCTATTTGATAACCTTCCATGCTAATTTCCGTAGTGGCTGGACTAATTTACACATTCCCACCAACAGTGTAGGAGGGCTCCTTTCCCTTCTTCCCCACATCCTCAGGAAGCTGGCCTCTTTGCCAGAACCTCTCCTACACAGTTCTCTCTTTTTTTTTAATACCTAAGGGGTGAGGGTGGCACATGGCAAGTGTTGTCCTGGGTGGTGGAGTGGGGATAGAAGGGCTGTGTGGAAGACCTGGTGTACACTGGCAGAAGTAGAAATTTTTTGAGTGGGTAATTGGGGAATAAAAAGATTAAAAGAACTAAGTCACAGTTGCCATATCTACCTCAAGCACTGATTTTTTTTTTCTGCTTATTAGTAGCACTGGGGGTTGAATTCAGGGCCTCCCACTTGCTAGGCAGACACTCTACCACCTGAGCCACAACCCAGCCCTTTTTAATTTAGTTTATTTTTAAATAGGGTCTCACACATGTGAGATGTACACCTTTTAAAAAAACAAAAAATCAGTTTTAAAAAGGAGGTCAGGAAAAGTTCCCAAGGGTCTGGACTACACAGAAATGGATCTGCCATTAACAGACGTGGGGAAGACTACAGGAGAAGCAAATGAAGGGACAATGTCAAGGGTTTCGTTTAGGACACAACGGCCATAAGCCTGTGGTATAGACAAGGGGAAAAGATGAGATCCAGAGAAAGCCTGAAGGTGGAAAACGACATTGAGAAAACATCAGTGTGCACACCATTTAATTTCTGACTGGAAGACATCATCTAGAACAGGCATCAACATGTTTTCTATGCACGTCGAATAGTAAGTATCCTGTGTTCCATGGGCCCAAAGATCCTCCCTGCAAATCTTCAACCTTGCTGTCATAGCCCAGGGCACCAGGGACGATGTGTAAATGAATGAGCTTGGATTTGGCCTCACCCATGCCCTAGGAAGTTGGTTCTGACTGAAAAGAGTCTGCAGACTGAGCTCTGAGCATCTCAACACCTGAAACACAGGGAAATGAGGAGGAGCCAGCAAAAGAAATTCAGGATGAAGGCCACATGAGGTAGGATGAGAACCATAAAGGAGTGCAAGCTCAGAAAACTTCTGTTGCAGAGACTGACAGACTAAGACCCTACTCAATCTCCCTAATGCTAGAGAAAACTATATAAGCATACAATTTAAAAAGCAGTCAGTTTAAGGTACTAGAAAGTAAGGAAAAGCAGAAACTGGTGGAAGTGAATGGTCAGTTGGGGGAGGGAGACAAAGACTTACCATGCAAGCGAGTTTCCATCTCCTTGGCTTTTAGTTTGGACTAAGCACAGCATAGACACCTGGAGGGAAACCTGCAGTCTTTCTGGGCCAGGCAAAAGCTAAGAAAATGAGAAGGAAATAAAGAATCCTGAAAAGGGAAGGGCCACAAAGGAGGTCCCAAACTCTGTCTACCCTCATCTCTGACTAACCCTTAAATTCACTTGGGTAGAACAGACTTGAAGCAGTGCAGCTAAAGAGAAGAGAGCTGAACTAAGACCAGAGTCACCACCAAGAAACAGGTGCAGTGCAAGCCCAGCCAAGAAAACCACCTGTTAAAACAGAGGAAATCAGACTCTAGAATCTCCATACCTCACTGCTCACGATGCAACCCAAAATCACTACATACCAAGGAAATGGAAACGTATCCCCAAGGAAAAGAAAGTCAACGCACATCTCGTCTGACTCTGAGGTGAAGCAGACGTTGAAACTGACAAGGATTTTAAAGAAGCTATTGATTATTATCAAGTAAATAAAATGCAGTATTTTCAATGAATGAAAATCCCAGTGCAGGCGGAGAATCTCAGGCCTGGGAGTGTAGCTCAATGGCGGAGTGCCTGCCCTTCTTACACTAGGCCGTAGTTCGCTGCAAAACAACACAACAAAAAACCAGAAATCAGAGTGCACAAATGTAAACGATAAAAATGAAAATTGTAAAACCGAAAAATCACAGTTTTTCAGGAAAAAAAATCAGCGGGTGGATTTAATAGCCATATAAATGAACTTAAGAAAAACAAAAATAAATTATCCAAGGGTAAGAACGTAAAGTAGATTTGATTGAAGAAGAAAGCTTTAAGAGCCTGTTAGATGATATTAAACAGTACAGCATACACATAATGGAAATACCAGGAGAAGAGGGAGAAAATGGTACAGAAAAGGTATCTGAAAAACTAAGGAGCTGGCCATAGTGGTGCACTTCTGTAATCCCTGCACTCTGGAAGCTGAGGCAGAAGGATGGCAAGTTTATAGCCAGCCTGGGTTGCATAGCAGGTTCAAGAACCACTGTAGGCTATACAATGAGACTCTTTCTTAAAAATAAATAAATAAATAAAATAAAACCCTAAAAAACAAAAACAAGGACTTAATGGTCAAAATTTCCCCAAATTTAATAAGACAAAACTGTAGACAGAAGATGCTCAAAAACACTACGTAAAATAAGCCAAAGAAGTCCATGCCAAAGGGCGAGGGCAATGGGTCCAGCAGACCCATTGGAAGGCAGAGATTGGAAGGACTACAGCTTAAGGCCAGCCCTGGCAAAAAGTTAGCAAGACCCCCATCTCAACAAATAAGCCAGCTATAGTGGTATGCACTTATAGCCTAGCTATGCAGGAGGCATACACACGAGGGTCACAGCCCAAAGCCAGCACTAGGCAAAAAGAACAAGACCTATCTGAAAAAATAACTTAAGCAAAAAGGACTGGAGGCATGGCTCAAGTAGTAGAGTGTTTATATAGCAAGTACAAGGCTCTGAGTTTAACTCCAACACCACAAACACACACACACACACACACACACACAGTGTGCACATTTCCATGCATAGGTATACCACACTACAGTCATGTACTGCTTAACAATGGGACTGCATTCTGAGAAATGAGTCAGACAGTCCTGCCCTACAAACATCACAGAGACAGGTCAACAAAGACAGGTACTTACATGAGCTGTCACTAAGTGATAAAATCTTATGAGAACCACTGTTGTTGACCAAACATCATTATGCAGTATGTAACTGTATTTAAAACCAAAAGGAAAGACATTGTACCTAGCAACCGTGAGACCCTGAGTTCAAACCCCAGTACCACCAAAACCCCAAAGACAAGACATTACTATCAAGGAACAACAATCCAGTTAATAGCTGACTTCTTGCTGGAATTTGCAACGGTCAAAAGAGAAGGGAATTTTTTTTAAAGTGATAAAAGAAGAAAACTGTCCACTCAGAATACTATATTCGGTGACAATAGACTTCAAGAACAAAGAGAGGGCTGGGGGCATGACTCAGGTGAGGTGGTAGAGTGGTTGGTGTGACCTTGAGTTCAAACTTCAGTACCCTCCCCCCACACACAACAGGAACACAGGAAATAAACATTTTCAGATAAAGAGAATTTGGCAACAGCAGACCTACATGGTAAGAAATGTTCAAGGAGCCAGGGCAAGGTGGCTCAGACCTATAATCCTAGCTACTCGGGAGGCTAAGATCAGGAGGATCAAAGTTTGATGCCATCCCGGACAAAGAGTTCACAAGACCCCATCTCCAAAATAACCAGAGCAAAGTAGACTGGAGGTGTGGTGCAAATGGTAGAGTGCCTGCCTTACAAGTGAGAAATCCCAGTCCCACCAAGGAAAAAAAAAGAAAAAGAAATGCACAAGGAAGTTCTTTAGGCCAAAGGGAAATAAAACCAGACAGACAGAAACAGATCTTCAGAAAAAAAAAATGAGGAATACAAATGGTAAACAGCGGGAAACACAAAGATTTTTCTCTTTGTCTTTCCCCTCAACTTTTTATAAGCCATACAGTTGCTTGGAGCAAATGTTATCTTCTACAGTTCATAATTTATCTAGACATCTATACACTGCAAGTATATCAAAGGACAAGGAGAAGATAAGGGAAATGTGAGCCTAAAAGACTAAGATTTCTATTCTTTAAGTGACTATATTAGTAATTATAAGAGGAATATGAAAAGTTCAGGATATGTACTGTAATCCTTAAGTCAAGCAGTAAAATATAATGCAAAGAAGTATGAGCAAAGTTACCAGGAAAATGAGAATGAGATTTTAAAAAAATACTCAAAGAATCAAAGAACAAATAAAAAGGTAGGAAAGTGGAGGAGAGAAGATAAAAAACAAAACTAAATGGGACAATGAGAAAGCAGAAGCGTCTGATCAATTTATTTTGGGGAACGGAAGGAAAGATTAGGAGTGGAAAAGCTAGTTAGAAGGCTAATTTATATTCAGGTAAGAAAAGATCTGAATTCAGGCTATGAGGAGAAGGCAGAAGGAAGGCAGGTACAGCGTGACTGCATTATAAATGAAAAAGGAAGGGGAATCTAAGATGGCTTACCCCTCCTCACTCCTCAACCAGTAGCTTGAGCAACTGGAAAGATGAATATCATTCATTTTGCCTTGAGAAAGTCAGAGAACGGGCCCAGCTGTAGACATTCCAAATTTGAGAACACACATGGGTATCCAAGTCCTTAAGAATTTCAGAATGCAAGGCTAAAGCTCCAGGCTAAAGACACAGATCTGGGAGTTACCACTACAGGGTTGTGGAAGGCATCAAGGAAGACTAGCAAGAGGAGAATTCAAGAGAAGCATTAAATGTAGAGCACACTGCAAAAAAAAATTCAGGGGCCAGGAGTAAACAGTTCCTGATGTAGACACAGCAGAGAAAATTACAGCAGTGGTACTATGTACTATTCTAGTTTGTGACCTTAAATAGGAATTAAATGTTCCGAAAATGAAAAATATAACCACTTTATGACATAAAACAGGTAACAAATACTTATTTGCCAAAAGGTGTATAAACACTGTACTCATTTTTAACCCCCACAGAGAATGAATGGTATTTTGGAAATACCATTCATTAACCATTAATTTTGGTACTGAATATTAATAGCTAATATTAACAGCAGAATGGAGCTCAAAACCAAAACCTCCATGTCATTTGATAAAAACAGAACCTCTTGTTTCAAGGTCCATGTTATTTCAGGGCCTTCTCAATAGGATCCAATCGACTTCTCATGCTTTACTTTATCCTCTACTACTAAATCTTGTTATTTGTGGACCATAAAATGCACTTTGCTATCTCTGAACATATGCTTAAACGTCTCCAATGTTTGAAATATTCTTTCATCTTCAGGATCAAATAAAATCCTGTCCACAATGTAACACTCAGCTCAAATGTTCCAGTAGGAGGATATGAACTTTGGAATCTGAGAGACTTGGGTTAAAAAATCTCAGCTCTACAACATGTGCTTTCAATATTCTTTAATTTAACCTTATTTTTCTCATCCATAAAATTAAAAGTATAGTTGGCACCACTTAAGTGGTGGAGTGGCTGCCTAACCAGCATGAGGTCCTGAGTTCAAACTCCAGTGCACCAAAAAAAAAAAATTAAAAGTATAAAATAAAATATGAGGAACTTAAGTAAAGGTGTATTCAGAGCACTTATAAAGACTGCTAGCACACAGCAGGCATTCACTGAATACAGAATGATGCCTTCATAATGTGCTAGTGTTTAGTAATTATGTCTCCAAATTAAGAAAAAAATATCCCTGGTCTTAGCACCTGTCTATTCCTGTGGTATCAACACTGGTACTGAGGCCGATTCCAAGATCCAACACGACCTCACTGAGTCAAGGCGGGAAAGGGATGTGCAGTACCCCACGTGACACGATTTTCTACCACAGAAATGCCACAGACACAAACAGGAGCAGTACATTTTGGCTATATATTACCTTGGTTTTTAACATGTGTATTTATCTGTAAGTTTGCATCATTTAGTTTTTGTAAATAATGGCTATGTTTAAAAGATGACTTACAATTTCTTGAAAATTTAACAATCAGCTTTAGCAGGTCAGTACAAGCCAGCTCTGCCACTGCTCAATTATGTCCAAGTTAGGAAATAAGTATTAGACATACACAGTATCTAACTGCACCTTTGGAAACAATCTTTGTTATTGTTCATAGATGAATAAAAACCTGAACACATTTACTCATTTTCATTTTACTAGGCAACAACCAAGTCATGCCCCTTTCCTTTCATGCCTTGTTAGCTTCAAGTACATTCTAAATCACAGTCGTGTTTAAGGAAAAGATCAAAGTTTATCAAACACTATGTGACTAAACACTGCTTCATGTGCTGAGAGAAAAAGTGCATTCATTTTTATAAAACCCAACTAGTCTTGATTCATATGCAGTTGATGCACTTTTAAAAACAGGTGACAGTAGACCTGCCTAGCAAGTGCAGGGCCCTCAGTTCAAACCCTAGTACCACCAAAAGCCACAAAAACAAAACAACCTCCCCACACCAGAGTTAGCCTGGAACATAAAGAGAAATACAAAATCGAAAATATGAGCATGGGGCTGGAGATGTGCCTCAAGTGGTAGAGTGCCCACCCAGCAAGTGTGAAGCCCTGAGTTCAAACCCCCATACTGCCAAAAAATAAAATCAAATGTCTATCTAAGTATGTATCTCTTTATCTGCATGGAACTGACCTAGAAAATTAGTATATTGTATAAGCAAAAAAGTGGAATGGGGGAACTACTTTCTTGAATCCTTTAACTGGGTCAAAATTGGAAATAAATTATCAGGGCACATATCTAATAAAGTTTTTGAACTGGAAAAATGAGACCTGCTGAAACTATTCTAAGAAGGGGAGGGGGATAAAGGAGAGTGATGAAAGGGGTGAACTTAACTAAGATAAATTGTAAGCACTTTTGTAAATGTCACAATGTACCCGCCAGTACAATAATACAATAATAAAAATTAAAAAGAAGACTTTATAGTGGCATTCTACTACTAAATGTACAGCAAAGCAATGGAACGCTTCATTCACATATGCCATGGTT